ATTAAACTGTCAAACACCAAGCGGTCACCGGTGACCGCAACCTATTGTTCTATAATTGTGTCTACAAAACCGGTACTCGACGAGTTAAGTAGGTACAATCCTTTTACTTTGGAGGACAATTATGGAAACGTTTGTCATAAATGCCCTCTAAATGAACTTTGTAACTTTCAATAACAAGTACCTATATTGCTGTTAAAACAATGACATACTACAAATTCAATAGGAAGATGCAACGTCATTTGAACTTACCTAGGTACTTGACTATGAGTTTTTAAGACATCACTTTCACCGATTGCAGCGTTCTGTCACAGTTTCAGCGACTGCAATTCGTCTCGCCTAAATTTTCAGTGCCAAATTCTGTTTCATACCTACCTACCTATGTACCTAATGACTATAAATAATAATATAATTATTATAATACTTGAACGCAGTAAAATCATTTTTGCTAGCTAATTACCTGCTTATGTAAGTACCTACAGTTATTTAAATAATGTTTATTTGCAATCTGGATCTGGGTAGGTAGGTACTTATGTAGTAGACCTTTTCCTACCTACTTAAACGATAATTTACTATAGCGGCTATAGCTATTACCTATGAAATTGTTCCTCACTAGGTACTTATTATCAAAAAGTAATGAAGTTCAATTAAAAGCAATATCAATCAAAATATCTAACCAAGCAATCGATTCTTAGTATAGATATAGATTTATACGTTTACTTTGATTGTTGCCTTCGGAGTGGTTATTAAGATAAAGTTTTCTGTGCGAGTTGCTGCTTCCAGTCTCATTAGAAAACAGTTTCGGGTATCAATTCCCGTTGTTTTTAACAATCAAAATAATACCAGTGCCTTATGTTGGTCTTAATATAGTGCAGTCGCTCAATGCCCTTGATTTGATAAGTTTGTAGGATGGCAAAAAATATATTGTGTAGGTTATTGTATACTTCGAGTACCTAATTAAGTTATTCCTAAGTTTACCTATGTTCTGTCTGCAGGGCTAAACACTGTCGCATCTGCAAGCGTTGCGTAGCATATTTTGACCACCACTGCCCATTCATCTACAACTGCGTCGGTGTGCGCAACAGAATGTGGTTCTTCCTATTTGTGATGAGCGTCGCAATCAACTGCACCCTCTCCATATACTTCGCCTGCTACTGCCTGCTGCTCGAAGGCTTCGGCCTCTTGTATGTACTGGGACTTTTGGAAGCTATCACTTTTTGCGCTCTTGGTTGGATCCTTACATGCACTTCGGTAAGTCTTCTAACTTGATATGGCTAGTAATACAAAACGACTAAATAAAGTACTTGCCCAGATGCTGCATAGGCACCTAGATTAGGTACTTAGGTCATCACTCCCACCCTGACACTCAATCAGAAAATATGTGCGGAGTGTCACGCCTTTGTGTTACGACAATTTCGTTTTGGTAAATGTAACGTTACTTTCTTTTTACTTTTCAGATTTTGCACGCATGCATGAATTTAACTACGAATGAAATGTTCAACTATAAAAGATATCCCTATTTGAGGGATAAACGCGGGCGCTATCAGAATCCATTCTCACGAGGACCTATTATGAACTTAATTGAATTCTTTGTGTGCTTGTCTGACAAATGTGATGAACAAGATATTTTTCACGAAGAGAATATATGATGTGAGGTGCAATGACGCAACGACCTTTGTAGAACAAGGTCACAAAAGCTTCTACAAAAATAAATCAACTCAACACCCTATTTTAAACTGTATTTTGCTGTGCCACTGGCTAATTCTTTGCCAAATTCTGTGTTTCCTGAAGGGTATATAACCTGGGTGTCTTCAAGGCTCGAGTGAATAGGTTGCTTATGGGTCGATGTGCTCCATGGTATACCGCATTTTTGCTTACCACCAGGCGAGATAGTGGTCAAACCTCGTCCCATAAAATATATATTATATAAAAAAAAATATGGATCAATAGTTCTATGTGAAAACGTCCACTTTTAAAAAACCTTACGATTGTCAATCACGAGGCGAAATGACTTTGATAAACTTAATTTATAGCCTCATTCATATCATCAAAGAACCGGCTAACGGCTAAAGAATGGCCCAATTTTGGTATTAGAAAGTGCCTGCACAAGTTTGAATACTACAGCCGCGCTCTTTGCGCAACTCTTCTACTAGCTAGGTATAATTATTTAAACAGTCGGGTTAATGTTAATGCGACTCGAACACAATGTGCCTACACGCCTCAACACACGTTATACACATTATAATAGATTTACAAATGTATTTGTTATGCATTTCACTTTATTAATGTTGTAGGTATCTATATTTATTAAAAATATTATAATATGGCTTATAATATAGGTACTACATATTTTCCTCAAGACCTGTGTTTTATTTCGATTTAGTTATTCAATTAAATAAAAAGGTCCTTTTAGACAAAATCCTTTGAAAATTAATATGTAAATGTAATTTCACGTTCTATTTTAGTGTAAATAAAAGACTTGTATATTTTTGTGCTACGTTAATGTAATTTATAATCAAACATTTGTTTAGAACAAAAACAAATTAAGTATTCGAGTAAGCTTCATGTGTGAAAAGTTATGAAATGTAGTCAACATTTAATGTTTGCAAATAAATGAAATAAAATTAATAATAATAGTTTCAACCACACGTCGCTAATTGTTCACTTTCCGCTTACATACAGGATAAAATCTGTTTACCCTTCTAATTATCACAATTCTCTTACACATCAGTCAAATACACGTTGTAACAGCACATACGTATATACGAGTTAATAAATAACTTTCATCATCACATTAAAATCGCGCACGAGCGACATAGAAGTCAGGCCAGCTGATCCATTCTACAACTTGTTTTATAAAATTTGCTCTACACGAAAAGGGTTTTTAACAATTTCTAATAATTCGAGTCATTTGAGTTTCGTGCAGTGCTACGCAATTAACAGAACAATGTGTTCAGGTACATTCATTAATCTTTATAAATATTACTACCTGAACTTCTGTATCTGCTTTTACAACATGAAGCAAATATTTTATGATCTTATATACCACATATTTATTTCTTCCATACGTAAAGTTTGTTAGCATCTTCTATTTGTTACATTATTTTATTGGGACTTTCAACTTAATGCTTGTACTTCTTAAAAATGCAAAAGACTAGTTATATAAAAAAATAAATTAACATAATTATGTGGTTTATAATACTGATGTGTTGCCTTTATCAAATTATTTGTATCACATAAAGTAGCTTGCTGACATTTATTCACTTGTTACTAGTGCATAATGAAATATTTTTAAATAGTTACATACTATTTGAAAATGAATGTGCTTAAGATTGATAAACATTTAGGTGACCTTCTTATAATGACAGTGAAAAGGAAGACAGATAGGGGTGTAATTTAAGCTGCTGAAATCACGATATCAATTAATTTGCGTGGAACAACAAACTGAGCCAAACGAGGTCACAACCTCGAATTTTGTTCCTAACATAGAAGCGCTTAAGGAAGACGCCGTAAGGAAGTTAGTAGCTACTTAGTATGCAATGGCAATGTGCTTCATCTACAGTTCGCAGTTTATTTAGGTAATAATGTATGTGTCACAAATACCTACTACTAATGTGTCTATCTATTTCATAAACAGATTCTAAATCTATAAATATCTAGTAATCTACTAAATATTTCAAATTTTATTGTGGGTTCTCCACATTGAAACTATTCATTGCAATTAATCATCCTTAGGGTTAATCCTAATAGCAGCCTCAATTTCTTCTTTGGGTTGGTTCTCGTCACCCCAGCCCCACAGATGATGTGAGCCGTCTCCAGTGCGCTTTACCCTGTTCTTGACAATGTCCTCAGATACAGTTTTCATGTCGTAGGCCCAGCCGATTTTAGCAAAGAAATTAATGAAGGCTGTGGTGAAATTCAGTTTGTTGTTACCGAATTCAGCAGTTTTGTAGTCCCAGGGGAAGGTGTGGTGGTAGTTGTGGAAACCTTCACCGAGCGCGAACATCGCTACCGACATGTTCTCCGAGGGCTTAATGCTTTTGTCGTAGGGTTTGTCTCCCCACTTATGAGCAGCGGAGTTGACGAGCCAAGTCACGTTGAGAATGAATGCGTAACGGAACATGGCAGCCACGAAGAAGGCGTTGGTCCAGGTTTCACCCCACAGATATACAGGAATCACCGTGGGCATAACGAAGCAAGCTAGGGGCATCAGCAGTAGATAGTACCTACGAAACAAAATTAAGTTTATTATAAATTCACTGAATTCTCCTTCTTCATTTTTTAAACATTTTGCTTGAAAACCATGATTGTCACTGTCGATTTAGATAAAATATGGTTAATCTCAGTCATACGCATTATTAAACTACTAAAACTAGTGTACTATTGATCTATTATTAAAACGACAATTTTCTTAAACATTTAAGTGCAAATAAAAGCTGTTACTTACTTTTTCTGGAATCTAAGTACAGGATCAGCAAGCAAGTCGCTCATGTCAAGACCTTTGCCCTTTTCCTTGAGGTCTGGATGCTTCCTGACGAGAAGCCAGCCGATGTGGGAGAAGAAGAAGCCACGGGTCGCGTTGTGAGGATCAGCGTCAGTCTCCGAGTACTTGTGATGCATGCGGTGGTCGCGTGCCCAGTCCATAGCAGCATCCTTGAAATCATTAAAAATGTCTAGGTGTTAGATAATGTTATCTTGAAACAATTCTATACACTGACAAACCTATTATAGTAGTGGGTTATATTCAGAGGAATTTCGGATTTGCTAGTTTGCACATTGTATAACTTTATCTTTAAATACCTGGGGATTATTATCACAGCAGTATTATCGTATTATCAAATACTTTTGTAGTTGAAGTTTAATTTCTGTTTTTGAACAGTGCTCCTATCTCAAAAATCACTATTATATTTTGATAATCTTCTTTTGCATTACTTGTTTGCCCTTTATTTTCTAAATCATTTAATACGTATGCTTGGGTATAAACTGGTATTTCATATGCAAAAACATTATTTAGTTAGGTTACAAGGAAAACTATCGCGAAAACACTTTGATAATTCGCCAATGTTAAACTAACAATGGCTGCATACCTACAAGTGTACCTACATAGTCACCTTCAAAGTCCCATTTCTATAGGCACCCACAGGAAAATATTACAACGAAATTGTTTTACCAGAGTTAGACACACATTTTATGCCAGTTATGTTAGAAATCCCATTATGGAGGCAAGCTTATTGTAAAGAATCTGTATACAATTATATATTATTCCACAATTAGCTAGGCTAGGGTGTGACTCACTATGTATCATTGGCCATTAATTAGGTAAAAGATAGAAATCTTATGTTTAAATTCATTCAATTTTTTTAAATATACAAGTAACTATAGTATATAAGAGAATGCACTCTTCGAAAAATAATAATTCACCTACTAAAACTACAAATTTTTATATTTACTATTTTATTTAACCAATAACATTGAAATACTTGGCTGTGATAGCAAAGACAAAAAATATAATAATATTATATCTGTTGTATTCTTTTTATTGATATCATGATAGTTCAATAGTATATACTATATAGTATTAGTAAGTTTGCAACTTTTAATATTCTTTTCAACTTTATAATATTGTCATCAGGCACAGACATCCTTTACTGAACATTAGCCTTCCTCTAGTGATTTCAATTTTCAAGATATTACTTTTCAAATATTCATATTTAAATTCTTTATCATAATTCATCAAACAATACACATTTTTCTAAATACGCACATTTGGACAAAATTCCAAAATAAATTTCTTAAGTATATCATAAGATATTACGGATTCACCTCATTGAATGACTGATTTTTATAAAATGAATTATTAATACTGTCATCAATTTAACATACCTACTTGCATAATTATTATTATGATTTACATATATAACTTAAAAATTTGTTAAAAATAAATAGTTATGTATCTCACCTGGAAAGCTACCGTGTTGAAAATGATCAGGATAACCTTTAGTGGCCATTTAGCTTTGTAAGATTTGTGGGCCCACAAACGATGTGCTCCAGCCGTGATCCCCAGTCCCGATATCACATACAAGATGTAGGCTGGAAATATACACACATTACTATTAGTCACTTGACAAATAAATTCCATCACAACATAAGTAGAGGTAAGCTGCGTCAAGTGGTATTATTCAATACCTAACAATGTTAGAATAGGTAGCTACATGACACACTGACTAGATGGCAATTATAGGTCACTTACAGGTCATTTTAATGAAATGAAAGGTTGGTATCACCATCTCATAATATAGAATTTCTGCATAATAAGAGTAACAAAATTAGGAGATTGGGTTTACTAACTACATCAAGTGAATTAAAATCTAATCAACTAGAAGTACTCACCAAAAATGTCCGTTTGCCATTTTGCAGAGAAGAGGAACAGGTAACCACCATACAGAGCTGCTAAGTGAAGATATGCAAACAATATGATATTTCTCCACACCAGTTGCTTCGGTTTGTTGTCAGCTTTTTGGACTGGTGGTCTGGCCAGCGCCAGGTCCGGAGTAGCTGCGTCGCTCTCAAAGAGCACTCCATTCACGTCCTCCGATATATTTGGAGCCATCTTTCCAAACTTCTAAGCACTGAAGACAAATGAAACTACTTAATAAAATAAGCATCCACCAACCAAAACAATTTTACGTTAGTATATTTTAGTTCCAGAATTTAAATAATGTGTTAAAATCACTGTAAATGTTATTGAGTTATAAAGATAAAGGAACTATTCAATGTAATGTTTATTACATAAAACAGAAAAACGCAAAACTCTCATTCAATGGTTAGATTGGAAAACAATACAAAACCTACGTTGCATACGCAACCACCGGTTAAAGATGTCGACTACAGTACCTAATTTAACTCTTGAAATCAGATAGTAAGATTTTGCAGTTTCTTGTTCTATTCACGTAAACCTCAGTACCTACCTATTATATTCTAACTGGAATTTTTCTTGTTTGGTTTTGCCTGACGTTTCGTACTTTTCGATTGATAAAGCAATAGGGTTGGGATACCTGTACCTGTACTCTGTAGATTAGATATCGATAAAACACATTCTTGATAAAATGATGTTATTAGTATTAATTACTGGATCTATTTGAAAAAATGCAGGCTTTAAAATGCACCTAGTATGCATTATTATGCATTGAATATCATTTATGCAATGTCCAGAGCTATGTATAGGTAATGGCACGCTACCTATTTTTCGGTTAGGTATCCACGTGGCTTTCTACAAGGGTTTAATATTTTTTTCCAATAACCAACATCAAAGTACTGACTTAGAAGCTAGATACGTAAGTAGGTACATAGTAGGGAGGTAGGTCTTACACTCTTTGCTCAATATTTAAATAACATGTGAATGTAATAGTGTTTAGAGGCTGGTACCTAATTCAGGTCTCCACACAAGGTAGCACGATTGTCAGATTTAATTTGCTGTGTTTATAGGTTTTATAATATATATGTATATATACTAGTAGTATTTTGTCGATCTAGATTTCAATATTTTTTAGACAAAATAATAATTTACAGCTTAAGCTATTTCGACAGTCATAAAAAGAAAGTCCTATTTGACCTTCATTACAATGCACAATCACATCACTATTTACCAGCATACATAGGCACAGACAGGTGAGAACACATCAGGTATATACTTACCTATCTACCTATGTATATTAACTGTACATCACTACTAACTGCACTGATAATAACACGATAAAAATATATAAAGAAAAACAAATGAAAGATATATTTTGTTTGTAAACAGTGATAATTTAAATAAATTATAATATCTAAAAAGAAAATAGAAATTAATTAGGTACTTACCAATAAATAAATGTGAATAATTTAAAATAATCCAATATAAATGGCAAACCACAATCACACTATTAACCGAGTGTTAACGAAGTATGAATGAGAGTTCTTCTCAGTCGAGAGCGTTATATATGACTGATAATATAACCGAAAAACAATAATATTTGCAACACACAGACCGGCCGGTGCAATCGATAAGTTCACGTGTTGGACTGTGGACTTACTAGCATGGGCACGCTTGTGGAGTTAGTTTCAGACTGACAGAGTGGTCTGGTAGGCTAAACGATTGCGCGTGGATTGGGCAGGCGAAGTGGCGCGATGTCGACGACCACGTCACTGGCTCGTCACGAACATGGCACGATGTACAGTTGTGATCAGGCGATATTATATTATGGGTTAACCTCGTCCCGATGGCGGGAGTTCGACTGTTCGAACTTTGGTAGTACCATATTTGAGTACACTTCCTTCATTTGGTGCATTTAGGACTTTTTTAGGTAAAATGTAAGTATCAATCTGAAAAGTTGGGATGTATTTAACTAAGTTGAGCCCACGTACTAGTATACCTACTTAATTATGCGGTTAAATATAATAAAGTAGGTAAGGTTCAAGGTACCTCCTACTTAAACAGAAAAGCCATATCCGAGCTTTTGGTTAGTGTGCAGAAAGTGTATTGTGCAGACTTAGATTCCTAGGTACAATGAACAGCTGCTTATTGTATAGGTCAGTACTGTACCGAGAAATAACAAAGTTACTGGCAATCGAGTCATGTGTGAGAGGTGTAGCGAACTTTTTACTTGCCTGTACCTCGATTAGCTTAGAAATCATGGCCAATAGAGGTCTTGGCAAAAGGATAATCCATTTTCCTACCACAAATGACTTGTAATGTTTTAAATTCTCGTATCGTCGTAATAATCGTATCCATTATTAAATATGTTAGTCTCAATCTTTCCAAATGGTGCATAGTGTCTGTGATTCTCTCTTTTCATACCTAATTGTTTGTACCGTTACAACTCGTAGTGGAATATTTTTTGTCTTAGATAGTGACCTCATCTTTGATTCATATCGAGTCGGCATAAGTTGAGAGTTGAGAGCAAAATAAAATGTTGGTTATGTAAGTGTCGTAACCTTTTTTAAAACCATTCGGAGCGGTTGGTAGGTAAGGTCGTCATACCGTAGCCGTACAATTAATCGTTACTTATAGGAAGTTACCTAAAAAGGCGCAGTTTGACCGATTTTGGTATCCTACAATATTGTGCGTAGAAGTATTATTATCTACCAAGTAACACATATTGTATTCTGAAATATGATCTGCTTGATTCAGGACACGTAGGTACTCGTATCAAAAGGTAGTTGACCCAACCAATTAAAAACGTAGGTAATTTGTTTCGTACCTAGAAGCCAAAAGCAAGTACAATATATTATAATAAGTAAATAAACAGATGAAGAGATAAATAGACAAATAGTTATGCAAACATTGCACCAGTTAATCCGTGATGATCGACAGAATCGAAGATACACCTCATTTAAAACACAAATAAATTTATTTTGACGGCATCGACACCGTATTCGCTTATGGTAAAGGAGGTATTGAAAATACCTACACAGTTTAGTTATCAATGTTTGTATTTTACAGCTAAGCTTATTGAATTAGGTGTACCTATTGATTTTGTCGGTTAACCACTAATAGCTTTTCGATCAGCGGCTAAAGCTCCCAAACCGCCAGTACCTAGGTACCTACACGCTTAGTCAATATGTGTAATTGCGTACCGACCTACGTGGCTACGTGGCGTTTTGTAAATGGGCACCTAGCTACAACAAACCAATTTATGAGTAACTAGTGTATTATACCTACTTACTTACATGATATAACTAAAGCAGTTGTGATACGTCATTCTTCGATATAACGATGAGTAGTCTCTGAGCGGAGACCAGATATTATCTAACCTGACTAGAGTCATTTTTGAAATGACCCTACAAAGTTTATTACTATTTAGTTGGCAAAGGTGCCGCCTAGATTATTTTTAAAGACAAATCGTCTGTTCACCCCACTTATCCAATACGGTGTTTGACAACATTCAAAATACTCTACAAAATATAGATATTTTACGAGACAATAGTCTAAAGAATACCACTTCTACTTTATTTTAACAAAATAATGTATATTATTTACATATTTCACAAAATAAAAATGAAGTTTTTTTAAATAATTTCACGTGAATCGAAACGCTCTGTGATTGGTGGTAACACTCGTGACGTCACACGCCAGCGAAC